TGATGACGAACTTAGCCGATCTCATCCTCATCTTCCGAGCTTCGTCCTTACCCTCGGGTAGGGTCCCGTCTTTCAAGTAGTTCCAGATACCTATCATCCATCCCAGGTCTTCATTGTCACTGACGTTGACGACTTTGTCGTTTAAGCTGGGTGAGTGCAGTGTTTCCTGGATGATGGTTCGGTGCTGTCCAGGCCTTTTGGTGCTGGCGAGTTTTGATAGGAGGTCAACTCGGGTGTTTTGTTCTCGAGGCACATGCTGTATGGTGAACTCGTCAAAGGACGAGATCTGGTGGGTTGTGATGTGGAAGTACCGCTGCAGAAGAGTGTCTTTTGCCTGGTATTTTCCACTGAGTTGTTCCACCATGAGTTTCGAGTCGCTGTTGCAACTCACTCTTCGGGCTCCGAGGTCGCGGGCTAGCCTCAGTCCTGCGAGAAGTGCCTTATACTCCGCCTGGTTGTTGGTCACCTTGAAGCTAAACTTGAGGGATTGCTCCAAGGTGACTTGGTTTGGCCCTTCTAGAATGATGCTCGCACCACCACCTTTAGAGTTGGAGGATCCGTCAACATGCAAAGTCCATACTTGGGGTTCCTCGACAGTAATCGGCGTGAGCTCGGCTACGAAGTCGGCCAGGCATTGGGCCTTGAGGAGCCCGCGACTTTTGTACTGGATGCCGAACTCGGATAGCTCTACCGACCAGCCGATCATGCGTCCGGCGAGCTCAAGTTTTCGCAGAATTTGCTTGATGGGATAGTCGATTTTGACTACCACGTGGTGGCTCTAGAAGTAAGGTCGGAGCCGCCGAGCTGCGGTGACAAGCGCCAGTGCCAGCTTCTCGATCATTTAGTACCTCCTCTTCGCGTCTTGGAGGACTCGGCTGATGAAATAGATAGGTGTCTGTACCTTTTGGTGTTCTTGTACGATAACTGCGCTGATGGTGTTTTCTGCTACGGCCAAGTAGAGGAGGAGGTCGGTGTTGTGATCCGGCCTCTGTAGGATTGGTGGAGTTGTGAGGAAGGTTTTGAAGCTTTGGAAAGCTTCTTCGCACTGATCTGTCCACTAGAAGTCCTTTGGCTTCTTTAGTAGAGTGAAGATTGGTCCCGCCTTCTCCGCGAGTTTGGGAATGAAGCGGGACAGTGAGACTAACCGTCCGGCTAGACGTTGGACCTCTTTCACCGTTTGTGAACTTTGCATCTGGATGATGGCTTTGCACTTCTCGGGGTTAGCCTCGATTCCTCTACTGGTAATCGTGAAGCCGAGGAACTTACCTCCCTGGACACCGAAGACACATTTCTCCGGGTTGAGGCGCATGTTGTGCTTCTTGACCTAGGCAAATATCTCAGCGAGGTTGGAAACGTGATCTGTTGCCGAGGTGGTCTTGACCACCATGTCATCGAGGTAGACCTCCATGTTCCGCCTGATCTGGTGGTGGAAAACCTTATCCATCAACCGCTGGTAGGTCGCCCCTGTGTTTTTGAGACCAAAAGGCATCACCCAGTAGCAATAGTTGGCGTGGTCGGTAATGAAGAACGTGTGTACTTCGTCAGGTTATCTGGTTGTACCCGAAGTAGGCATCGAGGAAACTGAGGAGGGCGTGCCCAGATGCTCCGTCGACCAACCTGTCAATGCTCGGCAAGGGGTATGAGTCCTTGGGGCATGCCTTGTTCAAGTCAGTGTAGTCGACGCACATGCGCCACTTCCCCGAGTTCTTCTTCACCAGGACCACATTCGCCAGCCATGTGGTGTATCTGACCTCACGGATGAAGCTAGCGTTCAGCAGTTTCTGTGTCTCGGAGACGATGGCCTCCCGCCTTTCGCCGCCGACCTTCCTCTGCCTTTGGGCGACTAGCTTTGCCTCCTTGTGAATTGCTAACCTGTGACATATGAAATTAGCGTCGATGCCTGGCATGTCAGCGTTGGACCAAGCAAAGAGGTCGGCATTCTGAAGGATCTCAGCTTCGAGCTGTTGCTGCAAGTTCGGGTTCAACTGCCTGCTGATCTTTGTGCACTGCCTAAGAAGTTTTCCGATCTGAAGGTCGTCAAGCTCGTCAATGGGGCTTGGTCTCTCATCATGAGAGTCAGATCTCGGGTCGAGATCAGTGATTTCCCCGTAGGTGATGTGAGCCACAGTGGGAGGATCCTTCTTGCCTGGTTCGCCGGTTGAAGAGATCTTCAGACTCTCGGCGTAGCACTGCCGAGCTGTTTTCTGATTTGCTTTGAGGGAGATGATTTTACCGTCACTCCCCGGGAACTTCATGGTGAGATGTGGAGTGGACACTACTGCTCCAAGCTGATTTAACGTAGGTCTCCCAATAATGATGTTGTAGGAGGTGTTGGCCTCCACAAGGAGGTATCAGACCATGATTCTCCTTGTGTCCGGAGATATTTCGAAGGTGGTCAGCAGGTCCACGTATCCCCGAGTGTGAACTCGCTCTCCTGCAAAACCGACTAGGGGTTCTGTGTGAGGTTGGATGAGAGAGTGGGGGATGTCTATCCTGAGGAAGGTCAGCCAATACAGGACATCTGTCGAGCTTCCCTAGTCTATCAGTGTCTTGTGCACCTCCCAATTTGCCAGCTCCACGGCTATGACCATGGGATCATCCTGGTTGGGACTGACACCAGCATAGTCATTGTCGGTGAAGGTGATCGGCGGTAAACTTTGGTGTGAAGCCGAGGTAGCGGAATGGACAATGTTGATATTACGCATGTGTCTTTTTCGGGCCGAGATGGTGGCACCTCCCCCTACAAAACCACCTACAATTGTGTTGATAACTCCCCGTAGGGGAGCTGATCCTGTCTCGTGGCTTACCTCGGCTTGCACTGCTCCACTGGCGTTTTGCTGAGAACTAGAGGGTTGGTCCGTGTGAGCTCCTGAACCGCGACCTCTACCTCGTCCGCGTCCACCATGGCCTCCTCGGTGTCCCTGTTGTCGCTGGACAAATTGGCCGAGATGGCCTGCTTGGATGAGTTCTTTAATACGGTCCCGAAGTGAGCGGCACTCTTCAGTGGTGTGACCGTGATTTCTATGGTACCGACAGTGCTTGGACTTGTCGGCGCTGTTGGGGGTGTGACCTGGCGGTGGCAGAGTGAGCAAATTGTTGTTACTGGCCTCCTCCATGATATGCACCCTGGGCGTGTTCAGCGGAGTATAGAAGTCATATCTCCCCCCTCTATTTGTTCTAGCCGATTTCTTGAACTGGCTGTCGTTGTTGACTTTGACTTTGTCCTTGTGACCCTGTTCCGGCTTCATTGGCCCCTTTCCACGACCCTGGTCACGGAATGCGAAGTGTTCCTCCATCTGAATGTAGCCCGCAGCACGGGCGCGGAGCTCGTTTATGTCGCGAGGAGCCTCGCGACATAGGCTGTCGACGAATGGCCCAGGCTTGAGTGCCATGAGCATGGCATGTAGGGCGACTTCGGGATTCAGATTTCTGATCTTGACCGAGATTGTGGCAAATCGCTCCATGAATGCCCGGAGTGGCTCGTCGTTGCTCTGTCTGAGACCGGCCAAGGCGGTGATGTGGTGAGGTTGGCTCATTGCGTACTGCGCTGTGAACTGCTTGACCAGAGTGTCGAAGTTGTCGATCGACTCAGCGGGAAGCTGGGTGTACCAATTGAGTGCGACCCCCTTGAGCGAGGTCGAAAAAACCCTACATAAAATAGCATCATTGTTAGTGTAGAGGTTCACCTGTGTCGTATACAGGTCGATGTGCTCATCGGGGTCCGTTGTGCCATCGTAGCGATCGAGGTGGAGAGGCTTCCACCCCTGAGGGAGTGGTGTCTCCATGATACCGTCCACAAAGGGATGACGGCGGAAGGTTGCTTGACCCCCTGTGACGTGAGATAGGGCTTTGCTGACTTCATGGACCGACTTGTTCGTCGGAACATGAGACCGATGCGGGGCAGGTCGTGGAGTTGGTGCCCTATTCGCAGTCCGGGGCTGGGAGACGAATGCTCTTCTCCCTCGTGGAAGTTGCTTGCTTCAGGAGGATGATCGAAGGGGCATCGAGGGAGCTGGGCGCGAATCCGCTCGTTTTCAGCGCGTAGCGCCGCTAGGTCAGCTTCATTGGCGGTCCGCATTACTGTTAGGTCGGTTTCGTGCTGGGCACGCATGTTTCGCAGATCGGCGTCGTGTTGTTGCTGCATCTGTTCGACCTGGTCGATCAGTCTCCTCAATGTCGCGTCGTTATCCATGGTGGTTGTATGATTTGCGTCGTCTGTTGCGCGTCTGCTATGGCTTCTGGTGAATACCATAAGCGTGACCGATAAGAGCTGTCTTGATCGGCCCCACGGTGGGTGCCAAATGTTCTTACTGGAAATCTGTCGTAGGGATGATTCTCCGAGTAAGATTGATGAGCCTCCTTCGCTGGTACGCTTGATGTTCCGAGATGGGGGTGGTACCTGTAAAAGAGACTCCGATGCTAAAGTTAGGGTTTCTATGAGTATGAGTCTCGTATAAGTAATGCACGTACCTTAGTGTGAGTTAGGATTGCGTTGGGCCTTGGGCCTTAGATAAGATATGATATGATTGGATGGCGGATCTCGTCTAGACCGAGATCTCCTCAGATCAGTTATGATCTGGTTAAGTGACGAGCTGACGTCACGCAGCGCGTATCCGAGGTCGTCATGCGTTGCGATGTCGAGCTGGGAGCTCGACCTTGCAGTACGGATAGTACAATATATATATAATTTTAAAAAAGATTGTAATCTCTTCTACAATTAAAACTTTTCCTCTTAAAAAGTTAAATGAATATTTCTTCAAATATTTTTATAAAAAAATAAGATAAAAATAATTTTTAAAAAATAATATTTTTGTATAAATTTCTTTAAAATAAATATTAAACATGAAAACTAATATTTTCAATCTAAAATTCTTATCAAACTAAAATTTTATCTCTTGCCAAATGCGAGTGTAAGTTTTATCCAAGTAAAAATGTGTAAAGTATAAAGCCCAAAACAATATGGCATAGAAATAGCCTGGAGGCCCAAATACAAATACCGAAAGGCATTAACGTGATTTGACAAATTTAGGGTTTTTGTCTTTCTTTCTCTCTCACCCATTTCCATAATAGAAGAAAGTCTTGCTTCATAGCCAAAAACCCTCAATTCTGAATTCTTCACCAACTTCACCTCTCTCCTACCTCCCGGAGCCGCCATGGTCGCTGCCGCCGATGCTCCTCCTTCGGGCCAGCTGTCTCAGAAGGAGGCGGACATCCAGATGATGCTCGCCGCCGACGTTCACCTCGGCACCAAAAACTGCGACTTCCAAATGGAACGCTATGTCTTCAAGCGCCGCACCGATGGTCACTCATCCATTCACAATTCCTCTATTTAATTTTATTTTTTTGTTCATTTATGTTCCTTTTGAGAGGGTTATCTCATTTGAATTGTGTTCAGTGTTTTTGATGCAATTAAGTGTAATTTTGATTTAGCATCACTGTTTTCCAATTAAATTCATGCAACTATGTATAATCACTCAAACCTAGGATTCAGATGCCTCATTAGTCTCATCCAAGATTTTTAGTTGGGATCGTGTTGTGGTTTCGTCACAGTCTTTGAATTTGGAGGCAATTGCGGTCACGGTCACCATTTTTTAAACGTTTGTCGCATCACAGTGGTCATGAGGTTATAGTAATAGCTATGTGTGCTTTATGCGTGCGTTGGAATTTTGCAAACTATTGGAAAGACCAGAGCTCTCTTCTTTTGATAATGTACACATTTTTAATATTCAATTATGAACTCTTTTATTTTTTTTGTGAGTTGAATTTACTATTTAGGTGTTTGACTAGGGTTTTTAGTAATTGGATTTGGATGTGAGCTGTGCAAGATCCTGACATAGGTTTTAGGTGTTTTTAAGCAGGGATTCAAAGGTTAATTTAATTACAAACTATACTTTTTTTTAAAAAGGTAGTGTTTCTGATGGTTGCTTTTTTGTACAACTATTATGAAGTTTTCCCTCTTCTACTGAAATAGAACATTTTGGAGTTTTTGTTGATTTTTGTTGTTCTGTTTTTTCAGGTATATACATAATTAACCTTGGCAAGACATGGGAGAAGCTCCAGCTTGCTGCTAGGATTATTGTTGCCATTGAGAACCCTCAGGATATTATTGTTCAGTCTGCCAGGCCTTACGGTCAGAGGGCAGTTCTTAAGTTTGCTCAATACACTGGTGCTCATGCGATTGCAGGAAGGCACACTCCCGGAACTTTCACTAATCAGATGCAGACATCCTACAGTGAGCCTCGTCTTCTAATTTTAACTGATCCAAGAACAGATCATCAGGTTATTACCTCTTTAGAAATTAGACTAGAAAGTATTGCAGGTGTATTGAGTTATATGTGGGGGATTTTTTTGTTGGGTTCTGGTTTTAAATTTCTGATAGTAATTAATCTTGTCATGTTATTTTGTGTCTGTTCTGCCACAATTTGCCTTATGTTATTGATTTATGTGCAGCCCATTGTAGAAGGTGCTCTTGGAAATATACCAACTATTGCTTTTTGCGACACTGATTCTCCAATGCGGTATGTTGACATTGGGATTCCTGCCAACAATAAGGGGAAGCACAGCATTGGTTGTCTCTTTTGGCTATTGGCTAGGATGGTACTGCAGATGCGGAATACTATTCGTCCAGGGCACAAGTGGGATGTAATGGTAAGATACTTTTCACTTTTTTGAATGGAATGATGGTTGTTTTATAGCATTTGAGAAGATTCAGTCTGTTAGTATTGTATTTTTAACTTGTGTTTGTTTTGCGGATTTCCCCATTCCAATGCATGTTCAATGGAAATCCACACTTACATAACTTTTCTGTTGAACAGAAGATAATATTAATTGAAACACACCTTAAGAAATTAGTATTATTTGGGTGTTTCCTACAAGTTCTTAGATTAATAACTAATTATCAATTTATTTAATGCAGGTAGATTTATTCTTCTATAGAGAACCTGAGGAGGCCAAGCAACAAGAGGAAGATGAAGCACCAGCTGCCCAAGATTTTGCCATTTCAGACTTCAATGCCGCAGGCATAGGAAGCTTCGCTGCTGATGGGCAATGGCCTGCTGCAGTCGATCAACCTTGGACTGAAGAAGCTCCGCAACCAATCCCAGCAGTTCCTACTAGCTGGACCCCAGAAACAGCTGGTACAAATTACTAACTTGAATTTGGATTCTTGCTTGTTAATGAATGATGCTAGACCAAGTTTTATATATTATGTTCTTAAGATAATGTTTGAGTGAGTTCAGCTTGGTCATATTTATTTGGCGTTGAAATCTATATACGTCTGGATTTGAATTTGAAAGGATGCACCTAGCCGTTCATACCCTTCCTTCTTTTTATAAATTGTATACAAAAATGTTATTAGTATTCAACTTCGCCAAGTACCAGTCAATTATTGCCTTCGTTCTCATGTAACAACAGTTCCCTCTCCCCCTCTGGCCAACAAAGATAAGGGAAACTTTGATGCAGTGATAAGATGCCTTTTCTTTTAACTTTTTTTTTTTTTTTTAAATGTATGTAATCACAATTTGTTTGATTGATGTTCTTCTTACAGCTGCAGGAGATTGGGGTGAGTCTGTTCCAGCTCCAGTTCCAGCCCCAGAAGGTGCTGCTGTGCCTGCACCCCAAACTTTTGCTGCTACTGGCTGGGATTAGCTTTAGACAAGACAAGAGATTTTGATTCCATAGTTTTTCTTCCCCTCGGCTCATAAAATTCCCTTCAGAGATTATTTGTTAGAAAAGCATCATTTACGTGATTTTGAATCTCAGTAAAATTTTGTTTGACATTTGAAGTAAGTTTTATCCTTTAAATGCAGTAATTTAATTGTGTTATTATGGGTTTTGTAACTGTTTACTAGAATTGTTGCTTTACTTATTCTTATTCGACATGCTAAAATGTGTTAAGTTTTAGTATAATTGCTCTCGGAAGTAGTTGACCAAAAATTTGAGGCACAACCAATGTGTATATAAGCTATTTGAATTGAAAGCATGAAATTCACGTTTGTTATTACATTGTCAACTTTGAATTTTCTTTTCTCACATTCTCTTAAGATTCCTTAGCAGTCTCCTTTTTTAAAATTAAAAAATGAATATAAAGAATAACTTTTATAAAAGTAATTTTTTTAAAGTAGTAAATAAAAGTTTTATTCATGTACCCAAAAAAAATTGAAGTTTTAATTTAAAAATGTAGAAATTTATAATTTTTTCTTCAAACAATTTAGACAAACACATTAAAAAATAGAAATTGGTTATTTTATTAAAATGTTATTTTTAAGAAAAAAATTAAACATTCTCATTTCTTTTTTGGGTTAAGATTTTCCCCATGTTTTTTTCTTCTATTTCTTCTATTATGATTTTTGACAAATGAAATAAAGATAACAAAAACAATGCACGTAATAAAAAGTATGATTTATTTTTTCATAATTATAGTAATGGAAGAAAGAGAGAAGAAAAGCGAGACGATTTTTCTTTCACGCCGATCTTAATAGTATTTTCCCCTTCTCTATCATATCAATCTTAATAGTATTTTCCACAAATATATATATATATATATATATATATATATATATATATAAATAAATAAATAAAGATT